TTTTTTTTCGGAACTGAGGATTGAACTCAGGCCCTTGTACTTGCCAGGGAAGCGCTTATTCCACTGAGCCATCTCCCCAGCCCCCCTAAATATTTTTTTCTGATTTCTAAAATAACAAAAACACCTAAATGACCTTGGACTGTGAACTTCTAAAACCATGGACTATGTAACACCTTTTTCTTTATAAAGTCAGTTACCTCAGGTATTTCATTTTAGTAAAAAAAGTTGGCTGAAACAGTTCAATATAATTTTAGATTTATTAATGTGGATATACCTAACCAATAATTAGCTATTCATTCTAGCTGCTATATGCCACTATATAAACAAGTTACTATCCTTGTTTTTTAATTCTAATTTTTCACATTATACAGTGCTACTATCAACATATTTATATGGGATTCTCATGTGTGAATTTATACTTAAGATACTACAAAGCAAACTTCTGGACATAGAGTATGAACATTTATTAGGTATTACATAATTGTTCTTTTTTTTGCCAGGCAGGCGCTTATGCCACTGAGCTATATCCCTGGCCCTGCAAAACTGATCTTGAGAAAAGTGTTTTTTTTTTTTTTTTCTTTTATGTATTTGGTACAGGGTCACACCATGCAGCTTGGACTTGTAGTGATTCTCCTGTTTTCAGCCCCCCCAGTACTGGGATTACAGGCATATGCCACCATACCCACACTAGGTGGTTGGCTCAGCAAGCCCAAGGGTAGGGCCAGTGCTGCATGCATGGGAGTAAGTTTTTACTTACTCAGAAATGAAAAACTAATCAGAATTAAAGAAACCATCACAGCAAAAGTAGCATATACACATAGAAAATTGACATGCTGAGTTACTGTTTAATAGGTATTTTATAACTGAGTCTCAAACTATTAATTTTGAACTATGAAACAGATCCCCCCTACCCCCCCAGGCCCAAAGAGTGATTAAGCACAAGAATAGGCCTGGGAAGAACACTATTTTTGGCTTTACCTTAAATCTATTTTTATACCATGTCACAGTGAAATACTCTGAAGGATGCTTTTAGGAACCAATTGTTATTACAGTGTTTTTATGTTTATATACTGTCTTTGGAGACTCAGAGAACTTTTTGCCTAATTTTAGTAGCAGTACAACCACACTTACTGTGAATATCTCATTCACTTTCAGAGATGGACACTTTCTGCTGATCTTAGCTCCTCAACATACTATGTAATTAGGGGCTGGCGAGATGGCTCAGTGGTCTAAAGCACCT